CATCAACTTCACATAAACCAAACACTAAAACACATACTTTCATAAAATTTGTCAGAGTTTTGAAAATCAAATAAGGTGACCTAAGTTCCAGTTGTTGGAGAACAAAGATTTCTCATTGATCCACAGGAGATAGACAAATTGAAAAGGTTGGGAGTTGGTACAGGAGCACGCAATCCAGGATGGCTTTGGTGATTACAGCTAGGAAGTCATAAAGTACTAAAATTAGTCAAGTATGACAATACTGTAAATTGATTCGTTTATAGTGGATTTTTGCTGGCCCAGAGTTTTTACCCAATTACGACTTTTCTCTGTCAACAATTTTCAAGTATTATTTATTTTTCACTAATTTATTAAGTTTGGTAATTCAACATAAGATAGTTGTGCATTTGAATTCATCTGGATTAATTAATAACGGTGACTTGTTGCACTTATTAATTGGGTAAATTTAAATTCCTCATAAACACCTATTCACCCCCCCAGGTGTTAGTTGGGTCGAACTTCATTATTTCATGTGGGAATCTCCAAGTCATGCCCTTTTGCATGTGCATGGGCTATGAGTCCCTTAACTTTGGTTTCATACATTTTTGTCCCTGTGTTTTAATCATGCCCTAATAAATTGCACCCGAGGTCTTTCAACTTTTGACACTTTTGCACTTAGTCTAGAGTTTACATTTTTGTGCACTTTCAATCATTTATCTTTTCTTTTGCATTCTTCTACTTCAATTAAGGATTTTTACCTACAAAGATAGTTTTTACATAATTATGTTTAAAAATTCACTCATTTTATCAATATTAAACTCATTTTAGATCATTTTTACATAATTATGAGTAGAAATTCACTAATTTTATCAATATTATTAAACTCATTTTAGGCCTCCAATAATTGTGTTAAAATACACTTATCATGAGTTAATAGGTCTACCACAAGGAAAATAACTATTGTAATGCCCCGAGTTCCTTAAACCCGGATTGCCACGTCATCTTTATTTGTAACTGAATTAACTAAAAAAATTTGCAGAAAATAACTAAATTTTAAACATCACATTTATAACGGTAAAACATCGTTGTCAACAAAACTTATTTGATTAACTTAAGAAATTTTATTAAGCTTTAAATCTCGAGTTTTTGAAATAACTAAAATGACAAAGTACGTTAATAATATTCAAATATGTAATTTTTCAAATGTAAA